ATTTTGAAAAAGTTTGATATATCCAAAGTAGGTGCAAGCTGTCAAGACACAATAAATAAAATAATTTTATTTTTCAACAAATCTTTTGATCCGATTTTAGTATTTTTTTTATGATTATATTTGACAAACAAGATTTAAAACAAGAAAAAAACGTACAAAAGGAGGTTGAATGTTTGTTTCTCCGTTGTCGAATTTCATCCTTGAACGAACAATTTATTATTTAATTTTGAAATAAGTATTAATGAAATGATTTATAAAATATTTTTTACATATTCTTTTTTTACTTTGTTGTATTTTATTTATTTCGTTCATTAAAATTGTTTAAAACATTAGCGATAAAGGTCCAACATAAATTTTCATGAAGATCTTTTTGGGGGGCGCTGATCTTCGAAGTGCGATTTTACACTCATCCTTTAGGCTGACAAGTTTTTATACTTTTACACCACGAATGTTCATCGTCGTTTGATTATGTGGAATGTATGGATATGCCTATTACCTTAGAGATTGTTTTAAATTATGGATCCTCATTATACGTTTAACGTGCTTTTGAGCTTATCTTCTTTTTTCGTGAGCAAGTTTGGAGGAATAAATCTTTTATTTTTTCAACTTGTGTCTTTGAGTTCTATTCATTATGTCGTTTTAGGCGAAAACATTTTGATAATTTTATTATAGTTTTTATTAATTTATTAGATTGTCTAAATGAAGTTTTAATCTTCACAAACATTCAATTTGGAAAAGGATTTTTATAAGGTTGATGTGTGAGCGTCACTCTGAAGAGGCTTTATCTTGAAGGGCTCTAAAGTCTTTCGAAGAAGTAAATACAAATTGGTGGTGTAGTCTACCTTAACTCACGAGAAGGTATGAGGGTTTTACATAGTCTTTATAACTTGTGCCATGCGGAAGGTAGGATAATTTTGCTGGTCTAGATTTTAGTTAGAATAAGGTAAGAGGTAGAAATTGCTCTATAAAATGCGTCATCATGGACGACGTTGATGTTTTTGAAAAAGGTTATTACAAATTACAATTATGGTCTGCTTTTGAATCTAGAGAAGGTGGGGAGTTTTACTGGATCCGCACTTGCATTTGGGGGTTTGTGAATGTGGAGCTCTGCCGCAAGGGTGACAGAGTGTATTAGTGGAATTTAAAGTGATAAATTAGACGAATGACTTTATGAAATATGTTACTGTTTTTTCATATTTATGAGATGTTGTTGAATTCAATACAGGGTTGAGGCTCAACTTGAGAGTTCACGTTTTTTTTTTGTTTTTTGTTTTTTTGTTTTAAGGCTTATTTTTTTAAGCGCATCCAATTCAATTACCTGTCAAAAGCGGACAAGACGAACTTGATGGTTTTTTTTTTCCTATCATTACAGTATTAATACTATTAAAAGGAACTTTGTAGCAGGCACATCCATGTTCAAGCTTCCAACAAGGGAATGCGCGGGGCTGCACCCAACCTGCAGGTGGGCGATTCTAACTAGGGACCATTCCGAATGGGCACGTTCCCGCGCCTCCCCTCCGGTCCTCTCCCCGTACGAACATCAGCAGTCTCTACAGATCGGGGAACGACATCCTACCTTTTTGTGGCAGGCGCCAAGCATGCCCAAGAAGGTACATGTGCCCAATGGGGACTGAGCGCAATCCCTCTTGAATGCCACTTGTGTGCCTTACCAACTGAGCCACGCCACTGAATAAGTTAAGGGTTTGAGGCCCACCGCCCCCCTTGTTGGGACAAATTTACTACTTCATTGATGTAATAGCCTGGAGGCGACGGCCCGAATGAGAAGAGGGAAAAAAAAAATGCACTTTACCCCTCGAAGTTCAAATATATGCCAAAATGCCCCTCAAAGATGTGGGTATATCGGAATGCCCTTCTGACCTGAAGTCTTTGCCATATTCCCCTGTCAAGCCGTGCGCAAATTTGCAACCGACATCTGTCAATTGGGGCCTGGGCCTGCACCCTTGTTTACCCGGTTTGCGCTGCCTAGGAATGCGGACAACTTCGCAAAATACCCAGACCCTACCGTAGGCGCAGCAATCTGGAACTCTGAATTCAAACTCTCAGGCTGGGTTCAAGTTGGCTGGGTTCAAGTTTGCAAGCTCCATCCTGGTAAGTTCCTCCATATCTCACCTCGGCCTGCTCCTTCCCCGCCATTCCCCTGTGTGTGTGTGTTTGTGAGAGAGAGAGAGTGTGTGTGTGTGTGTGTGTGTGTGTGTGTGTGTGTGTGTGAGAGAGAGAGAGAGAGAGAGAGAGAGAGAGAGAGAGAGAGAG